GCCTTCCGAGTAGCCGGAATTACAGGCGTGCGCTACCACGCCCGGCTAATTTTTTGATTTTATTGTAGAGATGAGGTCTTGCCTGCCAGGCGGGTCACGAATTATTTATTTTCTTAATGGTTGTCCTGGAAATTACAATTACTCTTATTGAGGCTCCTCATATAAGACAAGTCACTTCTCTCTTGCTGCTTTCAAGATTTCCTCTTTATGTTTGTCTGTCAACGGTTTGATTATGACATGTCTAAATATTGATATCTTTTGGTTTATCCTATTTGGAGTTCACTGAGATTTTCTTGGATATATAGATTAATGTTCAAGTTATCAAGTTGAGGAAATTTTCTTTTCAGCCATTCTTTCTTTCTTTCTTTCTTTTTTTTTGAGTTGGAGTCTCACTCTGTCACCCAGACTGGAGTGCAGTGGCTGCTCCCGGCTACCGCAGCCTCAACCTGCTGGGCTCTGGCGATCCTTCCACCTCAGCCTTCCAAGTAGCTGGAACTACAGGCGTGCGCTACCACGCCCGGTTCATTTTTGATTTATTGTAGAGATGAGGTCTCGTCAAGTTGCCCAGGTGGGTCTCGAACCCACGGGCTCAGGCAATCCACTCACCTCAGCCTCCCAAAGGCGTGGGATTACAGGCTGAGGAGCTCTCACCAAGTTGTCCAGGCTGGTCTCAAATCCCTGGATTTAGGAAATCCTCTCACCTCAGCCTCCCAAAATGCTGGAATTACAGGCTGAGCCATTGTACCTGGCCCTTTTTTATTATTTGAGTCAGAGTCTCACTCTGTTGCCCAGGCGGGAGTGCAGGGGCATGCTCATGGCCAGCACAGCCTCAACCTGCTGGGCTCTGCTTATCCTTCCACCCCCGCCTTCCATGTAGCTGGAACTACAGGCACACACCACCATGGCTGGCTAATTTTTTTGATTTATTATAGAGATGAGGTCTGGTCAAGTTGCCCAGGCTGGTCTTGAACCCATGGGTCAGGCAATCCTCTCACCTCGGCCTCCCAAAGTACTGGGATTACAGGCATGAGCCACCATGCCTGGCTGTATAATTTTTGGGGGGGTTGGGGTTTGCCCCCACACACTCACTGACCCACCTGTCTCCCATTCTTCCTCAGAGTGGGGTCAACAGTGGATTAGTCCGTGCCAAAGACTCCATTACCAGCTTGAAGGAAAAGACCACCCGGGTTAACCAGCATGTGCAGACCCTGCAGGTATGAGGACTCCTCCCCATCCCAACACCTGCTCTTTCTCCAGGGCTAAGCTTCCCTCTTGCAGCCTGACTCCAACCCAATGCACCCATTGCCCAGTTGGGAAACTTGAGGCTCAGAAGGGAAAGGGACCCCCAGGCCCAGACCATACTCCTGATGGGCTGTTGCCTTGCAGCCCTGGCTAACCCCTCCTCCCTTCCTTGCTCCAGAGCGAGTGTTCTGTGCTGAGCGAGAATCTTGAGAGAAGGCGGCAGGAGGCAGAAGAATTGGAGGGGTACTGTAGTCAACTCAAGGTGAGCCATAGGGGACAGGTGTGGGGTGGGGACAAGGGAATGGGAGGTAGAAGAGGGTGGGAGGAGGAGTGAAGGAATGAAGTGGGTGGACCTAAGAGAGGTGGGAGGAAAAGGAGGGGTAGCCCAGGTCAGGTATGGCTAAGGAGGAAGCCATGCCTCAAGCCACCAGAACCAGGCTGGTGAGTGGGTGTGTCTTGTATGGGGTGTAGGGCCCGCATGGAAATAGCCAGGCTGAGGGTTGGGGGGCAACCTCACCCTGATGTCCTGACCCAGGAGAACTGCCGGAAGGTGACCCGATCGGTAGAAGATGCTGAGATCAAAACCCACGTCTTGAAGCAGAACTCAGCCCTGCTGGAGGTAAGGGGGGGTGGCGACCCAGGATTTTGGGGAGGAGGTCAGACGCATCAGGGACTTGAGGTACACTTCAGGTGGAACTTCCTGTCCTGACACCGCACCACACTGCCCCTGTTCACAGTCTTAGACAGAATCCATTAATAAGAAAGATTCAAGGCTGGGCACAATGGCTCATGTCTGTAATCCCAGCACTTTGGGAGGCGGAGCGAGAGGATTGCTTGAGCCCACTAGTTCAAGACCAACCTGGGTAACCTGGTGAGACCTTGTCTCTACAATAAATCAAAAATTAGGCGGGCATGGTAGCACGCGCCTGTAGTTCCGGCTACTAGGAGGGCTGAGGCAAAAGGATCGCCTGAGCCCAGCAAGTTGAGGCTGCCGTGGCTGTGAGCCTGCCACTGCACTCCAGCCTGGGTAACAAACTGGGACTCAAAAAAAAAAAAAAAAAAAAAAAAAA